GGGTGCCCGGGCGCCTTCCCCACCATCAGCATCATTCCTCCCCACGGAGCGTGGCCGCTGCCGTATGACCCGCAGCAATGGTAATTTATCTTACCGGTAACTTATTTATGACTCAAAATCATCGAGCAGGAGCGGGAGGACGAGGGGGTTGTAGTGGGCGCATTGGGAAAGCTTTGGGGGCATCGCTGTCCCCCCCGCGCCGTGCGGGACCCCCCGAGTCACCTCCCCAGGCGAGGGGCGATGCGACGCTCTTGCTGGACGGAAAGTTTCTTGCGACATCGAGATGCGTTTTTATAAGGTGCAATAAAGCACTAAGAGGCTAAACTCACGTCCCCCCCTGAATTATGAAAGTTAGGAGCCTTTCTTGGCCTAATACCATGGCTCAGAGAAATCCCTGCTATTACCTGATGTAAATATGTATTAATTAAAGCACTTTGGAAATGCAGAGTATTGACCTAACGGACCATAATGGCTCTTCTCGAGCAATTACAATCTATCATCCAGCTACAGATTTCGGGAGGTCTTTTTTTTCAGAGGCACGTTATTGACCCGAGGGCCCCGAGCGGTTTCCTCCCCTCACACAGACCCTTCCTGCCCCGGGGCTCGCATCCTTCCCCGGGAAATTGGTAGAGGGGGAGGCCCTAAATCCCTTAATTTTAATAAATACGACGTATTTCATCCTGCGCCCTCCCCACCGCGTACCTCCTCTCCTGCTCCCCATTGCCGAGGGCACTTTTGAGACTTCCCATCCACCTGCAGACCCTGGGAAACACCCAGAGCAAAATATTTATATATAAAAGAAAAACTTTGTGCTTTCCAGTGGTGGAAACCCTTCTCAAATAAAGCATTCGTCTCCCGAGACTTACACCTTCCAATTTAATTTTCCCTTAAATCAAACAGTGTATTAATCCCCAATAGAAAACACGTTCCAGTTGCACAAACAATATTTAAATGGTATAATACGGACATCTTTTATAAATACTTCTAACAAATCCTGAAAAAACCCGAATGTGTAGGCTATAATTAATAGAAATGCCAAGTGCCAGCTAACCAGGAAAACTCCAGCATCATAAATCTGCCCCGAGCTTTCTCACACATGCTGATGGATGGGGACTTGCAGCTTAAATATTTAACAATCAATAATTCAAATACCTATCCTACCCTATTAAATTTGTCACATTTACTTATAAATGCGACATCCAGCTGAAGTTTCTCTGAAAGTTGTGTGTCTTCCACCCAATAACAAAATGCAGCGTTTTGGAAGAAGAGCGTTTCTTTAGCTTTGGAAGGGACAAAACAGTGCCGCGTTACAAAATTTCGGTGGGGAAATAATGAACAATGGGGGGAAGAAAATTAAATGCCATATACCAAAATAGTTGGCTGCATCTCCTGCACCCTAATAGGTTTGGATAATGCAATGTGCAGGCAGGTGTTATGTCGTATGAATCACATTTATAGGAACATTTTCCAATTTCTTTGCCGCCCAAGGCAGGGAGCTGCCGTTCATCCTCCGCAGATGAATATTTCTGTGGCACAGGGTGGGCTGCAGCCCCTGCCTGTGCATCGCCTCCTGTCCTCAGCAAATTGTGCAAAAAAAACGCCAAAGCCGGACAAAGGGGTGGGTTTGGGTCTGACCTGAACCGCAGCGACACTTTGCTTTGCCCCGCGGGAGGGAGGATTGGGACAGAAATAAATACATGCTGGGTCCAGCGCTAGCAAGCGAGAGGCCATTCACTGGCTAATAATAATAATAATAATAATAATGATAATATTGGATCTAGCCATTTTGTAGCACCAGCAGACTGACTCCGTATTTCAAAGCTTTTTGGGAAAGTGGGGATGATTGCATGGATTATCAGGTGGCCCCTCTCCTCTCCAATGGCCGTGATAAAAATAACAACAACAAGGAAAGCTCTGCTCCGCTTCCATCCGTCCAGAGGAACGGGAGGAGGCTCGGAGCATCCCGTTTGCCGCTGGAGACTTGTCCATGCCTCCAGTCGCCTGTGGCAAGGAGGGTCCCTTTGCCCCCTGAGCATCGTTTATTTTAAAGGAGCACCAAAACTGACCCAAAAGCTCCTGGACCCAGATTTCTGGAAGGATTTAAAAAAATCCTGGAGCTGCCTATGGGTGAGGGAGGTGGGGGGTGCCAACTGTGGCCCCCCCCGTCCCCGCCGGAGCGCGCCTGCGGGCCTGAGCGCGAGTTAGGGTAGCATAAATCTCCGTCGCAAATTTATTGCCATAATTTATCAGCTCATGTTGCTGAATGGCCAAGCAGTTAATTTTAAAATGAAGTGGTGCTATTTTCATTAATACCCTTGTGCTAACTACCTATCAAAACACGCAGAGGCAATTAATACCGTGTTGCTGAAGTACTGAACCAATAAATATTTCCAGTCTTGGCTTGTCTTCGGCAGATAAAAGACATCAGACGAACCTACCACCTTGGTAATACTCCCCAAGTCCTTCTCTTGTCGCATCATCAGGAACATTTACATTTAAGGAAGAGATTAAGTAGCCAGATCCGGCAGTAACGGGAATTTAAAAGGCCGTTGTTTCATGACATGTGAGTAATCCCTTCGGGATATCTGTGCAATAACAATAAGCCTGCGAGAAGATTGAAAATTTCTGAAGATTATATATCAGCAATACAAAAGCAGTTTGGCACAGTCTGCATTTGGGGAAAGGCAGGCGAAAATGCCCGACGTGTCGAAATCCGGTATAAATACTTTGTCACCACCGCACTAGCTGCAACTCCATCACCCACCACGCCACGGAGCATCCTTTCGAGGGAAAAAAGGGCTTGCATGTGGTATTTATGGCCAGAACGGGGTTTTCAGCCTGTATTTCTTCCAGCGATGAAAATCCAAATGAATGTAAATGAAACCTCACTACAAAAGGGAGAGCCGGGGCAGCAGGTTTCTCACCCGTGCACAGCAACGCGCACCTTTCCGCGGGCTTCGCGCCGTACAAATCTCCCTGTAAGCGCATCCCATCGCTTCTCCCTCCAAGGCAGAGCAGCAAAGGGCCGGATTTTCTCTGCTTAAACACCACCCCGGCACTTTTTCCACCCAAAGTTTTTAATTTTCTCTCAGCCGGCTATTGTGTATTCTTCTTGCGTCCCGAGCCGAGCTGACACATTTTGATAGCGATAAATAATAAATGGAATTTATTTCCTTAGATGCTGATGGAGACCTCTTCTTCCGCAGCGAGAAAGAGAAAGCGAGAAAGAAAGAGTGAAAGAAAAGGAGTGAGAAAGCGGGAGACGGTGCCCAAGCCCCGGCTGCGGCCCCGTGGGTGCCTGCTCCCAGCCCGGCTCTCACCCCGCGTGGGGCAGGATCCGGCCGCCCTCCTGGAGCCCCTCCTGGCTCCTCCATAGCACTGAAACCCAGGGCAGGCTCAGCCAACGCCCTCGCTAATAAAAGGTATAAATAAATAATAGTGAATGATTTTTGTAGGGGGGGGAGGCGAGGGATGAGAGCGCGGGGGCAAGGGGACGAGTGTGAGGAAGAGGTAGCATTAAGGAGCTGTCGGAGACGGCAGCATCGGCTGCGGACGGGGCGATGGGGAGAAACCTTCGCTGTGTAGCGTAATTGCACTTTTTTTTTAAGCATATTTTAATTTTTCTGTGTGTATTCGTGCAGCGATGCGCACGGGTGGGTCCCTGTCCCTCCTCCCATCCCTGCACCCCCGGCTCGGAGGAAGCATCAGCTCTCACTGCCCCGCGGGGCAGGCTGACCCACGCCTGGGCTCCTTTCCAAGCCAAAGGGCCGCCACCACCATTTGGGTTCATTTTTGCTTCTTTGAGATGAGTTTTCTGCCCAAAAGCGGGAGCCCTGCCCTCCTTCTCCACCCCCCCTCCTCCCAGAGCTCACAGGCGTTTTCTGCGAGGACAGATTTGGCTTTTCCTTAATGTCTAGTCCCCTTCTTGAGAAAAAACAAAAAGCTCAACTGAATGGGCACCAACCTGTCCTCAGCTGCTACAAGGTGCACGGGTGCCACGTGCGAAGCAGCGACCAGGAGTGGGCAAGGGGCACAGCGAGGACGGTGACATTAGAGCTGTGCCCAGCCCAAACCCCCGTCCTGGCCTTGTGGGTTAAACCAAAACTGCGCGGAGGTGTGAGAAAGGAAATACCAGTGGTTTATGAGTGTCGGGCAACTGTTTGTTAGAAAACACTCATTTCCCCCCAAATAAAAATGGAAGAGCTGGTATTGCGGCTGGTGCTGCCCTGGGAAGGGCTGGGGGTCCCGGTGGCCCCCGTCTCCTGTCCCCAAGGCCACGCAGCAGAGCTCTCCTCAGCCTCAGTGGCGGCTTTTGAGTAGAAAACAGGCAGAATGGCTTAAATGCAAAAAAGTCCTTTCTGCGACTACTAATTTCTGCTCCTATCTTTTAAGAAAAAGGTGTTGCAGAGTGAAAAACTTCGAAGACAACTTTAAAATTTGTAAAGAAACCTATTTTTTTCTGTCCCCCACCTACAGAAGCCTCGCAGAGAGCTGCAGTGCAGCTGGGGGCTGCGCAGGGCAGCTCTGCATGGCCAAGTGCGACAGAGATGGCCAAAAAAGTGGCTGACATCTGGGGTTCTTCAGAGATGCGGTAATATTTTTGAAGTTTAGCTACATTTAAAGATATCTTGTAGCATTTGCAAAATTAACTATCTCCTCAGCCTTTACTAGATGTGTTTCGTGTCTCTACTTTGCGTGATTTAATCTGCAGAGGATCGCTGAAGATTAATCCGTTATCGTGCGAGGAACGATTTTGTGTTGACAGGACACCGACAGCACGGGAAAGTATGGCTGACGGGATGACAGTGACTCAATTTAACCAAATAACCCCGTGATTTGGAATGAAGCTACTGCCTGGGAAGCCCCAACCCTTGCCCAGGTCGTCGGGCCAGCGCCGGCCCCAGCGCCGCGCACCCAGAACGCTCAGTGCTGATGCCCGTGGCCCTACGGCCGCATCCCCCCCCGTGCCCAGCTGAAAGTAAATAACAACACAGCCTGTTAGCATTAGCAATTTTTTATTTTCCTTTTTTGTTGCATAGGAAATGCAGTACTTGCTTCCAGTAATTGTATTGTAATGTGAGAAGGTGGTAGCACTAATGGTTGAATACAAGAGTTAAACTAATCCACACCAGCTCAAAAAACCTGCGGAGACTTAGTTGAATAAGAATGGATGCCCACAGTGATTCTCAACCAATTACAATTTTTTTCACAGAACACAGTAAAACTAAAATGGTAACTATGAGAGTCAATACAAGTATACTAGAGGCACGAGGGGCCTGACTCATAAAAAAAATGAACACGACATGGTATTAACACGGGTGTCAAGTGAATTTGCAGCAGATCTTTCACACGGCCGGTGGAAATTTTAGCGCCCCGAATTTCAAATTGACGCTGAGGGACTTGGCTGGGCCAGTCTCAGGCAGCAGGGCAGGGCCAGGTCAGAGCTCAGCCGTGCGGAGAAACCGCACAGCCTGCCAAAATGGAGATTTCTCCTTGATTGTATTTCCAAAGCAAAGAATTTTGCAGACCTTTCCCCAAGGCAGCAGGCGCAGGGCGCCGGCAGCAAGAACAAGCGGCGGCGGCGGCAGATGCCAAGCCGGGCACTCTCTTCCTACCATGCTCCGTCTAGAAACTCATCTTCTTCCCCCCCCCCCCCCCCATATTAATTTGTGGATGCAGATAAAAAAGGGGGGGGAATTTCACCCAACACAATTGTTTTTGTTCATGCTCGAGCATAGAAGATTAACTAAGTGGAAAATAGTCTTCCCTAAAAAAAAAAAAGCGTACAAAGTACAAAAGTTCAGACTGTGTACAAGCATTTGCCTTGACGAAGGTTTTTCGCTAGAGCTGAGAGGTAGCGATCTTAGCGTCATTTTTTCCCCCCCGGTACGGACAAGATCTCGTTTGTAACCGAGCAGCCTCGTACCACCGCGTTACAGACCCCCGGCATCGGCCAGAGCGCGGCACGGAGTCGTCCTCTCCCCTGTCTCCCCCTTTTCCCCCGCCAGCCTGCGCCTCTGGGGTGTCGGAGCATGGTCCTGCGCTGCCTCGCCTCCTCCGCGGCCCCTTCCCATCGATTCCTCTTCTCCGGTGGGGTTAGGGGAGGCGGAGAGGGGAAGGGGAGGCAGAGGAAAGCCAGCGGGCGCGCGTGCCGAGGAAAGCGGGGCTCGCCAAAGCGTGCGCTGGGGAAGAAAGCCATCCTCAATTTGGACGAGAAAAGCCCACCAGCCTCCCGTGTTAATAGCAAAGGAGCTTTTATGAATCGGGCCCAAAGTTTGTACAGAGTTTGTTTGAAGAAAAATATTGCAACTGTGCATGAAACTAAACAACCACATGAGGTTTTTTTTTTCTTTTTTTCTTTTTTTTTTTTTTAAAGGGTTTTTTTCTTTCTATATGAGGAAGTCTGGTGTGAAGAAGGGTCAAGCATGGGTACCTGGTTAACCGCTGCCCATTAAGAAATCTCTCGCAACATGAGCTCAATCTTGTTTGTGGGTTTAAAGGACTGTCCCTTAAATTTGAACTTTATGCACCTGTTCTTCAGAGCAAGCTCTCTGAATTCTTAGGGTAGCTTTTCGAGACGAAAATCTTACCAGGCACGGATTTCTGGTCTCAAACACCATGTCCTGCCCTCTAGGGAAAAAAAAAAAAAAAAAAAAAAAAAAAAAAAAAAGAAAAAAAAAAAAAAAAAAAAAAAAAAAGAAAAGAAAAGGAAAAAAAAAGAAAAAAAAGAAAAAAAACCCAAAACACAAGTAATACTGAATTTAAGTAAATGTATACCTCCAAAATACTGAAAACACCCCAAATCAAGAAAAGACAGAATTTGCGTTCTCAGTGAAATATCTTTAAACCTATCTGACAAGAACCAAGTCAGAAAAAAAGACTAACATAACTTTGAGTAATATTCATACAGCTACTAAGCATTATGGAATAGCATGCATTAATATTGTACGGTTATTTTACATCACCTATATCAGAAGGTTCTGACAGACAGCGAAGGCTACCGGTGTAGAAAAATCTTACTTCAGAAGAGCAATATAATACAGATTTCACAGGCACTACATTTTAATATATCAGGTATTATGCTGGTTTTCTTATAATTCTTTCTGTCCTAAAGCTGGCATTATAACAATGACCGAAAAGGCAAGGATCGAAGTAAACGGAAAGTAGATACCAAAGTTGATATATTCTTTTCTTTTTTTTTTCAGATAGATTAGTGCATAGTTTTCATGCAGATAAACACTGCTATGCATTTACATTGTTGGAAAGCAGAGTGAATTGAGCCCAAGTTGTCACATTTTTGTAAATCATTTTGCCAGCCTGTAATAGCACCATGTAATGGATTTGCATTAAACATTAAATTGATTTCAGAATTGGTGACACAGTATTCACTACAGTTAAGTGCTATGGAATAGCTTCAATGTTACCTGCTATATATCAAAGCAATTTTCATCCCACTGCTTTTTTATTGGAAAAAATAAAAGGAAAATGTACTCGATACTAATTAGACTATTGCGCAGCCTTGGACTTGATGATGGCATAGCTGGGTTTACTGTCAAACAGTAATACATGCATTGACTTCAAGACAAAATTGGCATTGTAAGCTTGATTTAATGAAAATCCTGCCTAGCAGGCAGTGTTAACTTCACAAGACCTGCCTCCGACAGACCTCATGAGGTTTATTTTGTTATTTATTTATTGTTTAGGTGCCATTGAAGCTCTCCTTACATTGTCATGCCGGTTATGGTTTTAATTTTTTTGAGGGGGGGCTTTTCCCAAAAAAAAAAAAAAAAAAAAAAAAAAGATATTTCCAGAGACACAATGCAAAGTACAATATTAACTGACATTCTTAAAAAAAAATTCACCACAAGGAAAAAAAAACTGTTTTAGGCTATGTATCTGGGTTTTTTTGTATTTTTGTACAGTAAATATTTTATAACACTGTTACTACAAAGCTGCAAATATACGGAACAAAGAGAACTAGAGAAAGAAAAAAAAAATGTTAGAGGGATTTTGCATATTCCTGTGGGCTGACTGAATACTGTGGAGTTGAGAAAACTTGGTGTTTCTTTTCCCCTTCGACCTTAAGGGGAGGGGGAACAAGCAACAGAGACAAAGTGTACCATGGCTGCCTAAACTCGAAGCCCGAAAGTTTTTATTATAAAGGAAGAAGAATAAATAATAATGGCATTGCTGGGGTGTGCGGCATGATAAAAGCAAGTGCCCTCGCTCGAAAAAAAGAGGAAAAAAGGAAAGGAATTAACTTGAGAAAAAGTCAATTCGCGCTAAGCCAGTTCTAGGGCTTTAAATTTGGATGGGTGGGGGGGTGGATACAGGTCAGAGTATTTGTGCGTCTGACGGTTTCTGGAGAGAAGGAGACGGGGAGAAAAAAGTTGTTCGCGAGACTCCAAAAGGACGGCCGGAGCGACTCGGAGGGGAGCGGGAACGTAACCCGACGCGGAGTCGGGGGCTCCGGCCGCCGGCCCGACTCCTGCCCGCAGCCCGCACACCCCAGCGGGACCCCTCCGGCTCGGCTCCCCACTCCTGGCTTGACTTGGAGGACTAAAACACTGTTTGTTCTCTACACCTGCACAGAACGGAACTGCTGGGTTTTCTGCGTGAGAGTAAGGTGAACGAAAATTTAATTTAGTGTGTAATACTTTACAACCCCTGTTGGTTAACACCCTTGACCGCCTACCTAATGTTTTAAAGCCTTTAAAACATTTTTTTTTCTCGCAATTCTGCTCAGAGTTCCCTAACTTTAGCGTCATCAAACTTAATATGACAAAATACCTTCAAAAATACAGCATACCTGTAATGTCCATTTACAATGGTTCTTCAGTAGCCTATACTTCTCAAGCATAGGAATATGCTATACCATTGAGAGAAGAAAAATAACTGTATTTAAATACATACAAAAAGGAAACGGGAAAGTTTTTAACTTAAATCCAGTTCCCAAAGGAAAAAAAAAAAAAAAAAAGCAATTCTATGAACGCTGCCTTTATAACGAACAATCAGAAATTCCACTAAGCTAATTTGACAGAAATTTTTCCTCATTTAAACAACATTACAAAAGTCCTGCATTATAAAATAGGGTAGAATAAATCAGTGTAATCAATAAAACTATACAACATACAAATTACATATCTTCTGAGTGGGCAGTTTAATTCTCTCTCTTTGCAGCCATGACTACAACATGCTCACTAAAAACAACTAACTGCCCAAACTATTGCTTAGTTTGTTTTGTTTAAAAAAGGGTGCAATTTTATTGTATATACAACCAATTTACTGGTAATACCTTGTCTCATAGCAAGGTTCTGACAAAATGTTTGTCTAGGCTTTTTTCCCTTCACTGTGAAGCACTGAAAGCTGCTATTTTTTTTTTTAGTGCACATATGTCTTAATAAAGTAATGCCCAGCTAAGTGCTATAGGGAAGGCAAAGGATGCTGGCTAGAGGATGTGATACCATATACTAACAATCACACAATACAATAGAGCAAAATGACTACTCAACCACTTATCAGACACATATGAAAATCCAAAACATTTTATTTTTTCCTTAAATAGAGAATAACCAGTAAACAATTTTCAGAACTTGGAAGTTTAAAAACGTGCATATAAAAATGGGCATTATATACTTTTATTGAATGTGGATTGATTGCAGTCTGCTAATAAAAATGGGTGTGGGATCTGAAGAAAAAGGAAGTTTTTTTTTTTTTAAGGCTTGCTTGTGAAAGGAACAGTTGTAAAACAAAAATTGCTTGAAGCAGGGTTCAGCTTAGTGCTTCACAGTTTGACTGCTTCTCTAAGAAGAGCCCTTCCTGCATGTGCATTCAAAATCACAAAAGTACAAAGACAAACACCTAAAACACACTGCGTCAAGTGCAGCACCAACTTTGGTCAAATAAAAAAAAATTAAAAGAAAAATTAATAATTGCTAAGCTTTTCTACATGATATAAGCAGGTATTGCATATTTTCATATATCTGGGAGAAAACAAAACAAAAAGGAAGACTCCAAATAAAATGTAAAATGCAGCAACATCCAAAAATACTGATAATCTAGCATCTACAGATCTCAGAATAGCACTGCCACTGACCATACAGGACAATAAACACTACTCCTATCTGCGGAACAACTAACATCCTATTTAATTCTAGATGTTGAAACTGACAATGGCTGACATAAAAGTCACATTTACAAAAAGTGTCTCCAAATGCTTGACTAGGGAAAAACCCCTTTCAATATAGGAACATGTGCAACAATTCCACAAATAATCGCTATCCAGGGCAAGGCACATTGATATGGAATTTTTTTTTTTGTTTCGTGCAAATTAAGAAAACAAAACAAAACATTGTTTCAGGGAAAAGATGAGGAGCAAAGTGTCTTCCCAAGAATTTCAGTTACTTGATTGTATAGGACAGTAGTAGAAACCCTTCTGAAGGGTCGAACAAACATAGTTTAAAGGCAAGTGCCTGGAATAGGGATTACAATATTGTGTCTTAATGCACTCTACTTTACCCTACATTAACTATATAAAAATTAGTTACTAACACTAGAACATGCAGAGACTTTCTCTGATTAGCTGGACTCGCCAACCAGAACGTATATATATGTATAGTATAGGAAACCTTCTTAAAGTTGCATGTGAAGCAAAGGGGTGCTCCGCTGTCTGATAGAAAAAATCACTTGCACTCTTTTTTTTTTTTCTTTTTTTTTCCTTTTTTTTGTACATAAGATACAGGACGTTTGGGGTCCAAACTTTTTTGTGTTTTTTTTTTTTTTTTTTTTTTTTTCTTCTTCAGCAAGTGCCCTTGCTTTGAACTGGCATAAGTTGTAAGATCAGCATCATTCGTTTCTGTAATGTTTTCTTCGCAGTCCAGAAAATGTACCAGTTCAGGGACACGAAGGTGTTTTACTTTCTGGACCGTTCTCTCTTATTCCCAAGGTGTTTGAGAACTGATAAACCCTATATTGCCGGAAACACGTAAAATTTGTCAGAATTGGCATAATCCATTATAGTGACTTTTAGCTTATAAAATTAACAGATATTATGATTTCATTTTAGTTATGTGCTTTGATAACAGAAAATGATTAATTAGCATTTAATGTAGTTAACATATTGTGGTAAAAGCACCATTAGATTTGTTTTTTTTTTTTTTTAATTTTCCTTCAGTTTTAAAGGGATACAAGTTCAACAATAAAAAACATAAAAAGCAAAAATAGCTCCCCTTTTTCTTGCAAGGCTGTTTTTTACCCCAATAATTTAGAGTCCTGGGGTGGAAGGACTTGGAAAACAAAAATAGAATTTTCAACAATCTCTATCTTACAAAGATATTTAGCTATCCAATGAAATTGCACTTTACTCAATTCAAAATTCGATTGTTTTGATTGATTCCTGTCAGTTTCTGTCAAAACAGACCAACTTCCCCATTTCTGCGTGAATTTTTGTGTAATTGTTGAAAATTGTTGAAAAATGTTTTTTTTTTAAATGTAAGTGCAGCATTTCAAACTTTTTTTCTTTTTTTTTCTTTTTTTTTTTTAGTGAATAGTAGTAGTTCGATGTTTTAAATTGCTCTGCAATTGAGTGGAAAAAAATTGTTGACAATGCTCTTATGGTTCATGTTACGTATCTAAGTGCCGACTGTAAAAAAAAAAAAAAAAAAAAAAAAAAAAAAACCCCAACAAAAAAAAAAACCTGCAATTTTTTTTCCGATATGTTACAGAAAAACATGCTCTATGTCTGTCCGGTAAGTTATATATTGCAGAATTCAGCTACTACAAAAGTTATAGTTTAAGTGTGTTTCATGATTTCTCAAGAAGTCTCACACCTGTATGGGAAAAATCGATGAGGATACTGTAAAACAGTTAGGCTCCATATGGAAAGTGTGTTACAACAGCGAGTTGGTAAGCAGCAGCAGAGGCTAGTTCTACTCAGTGTCACCTAACGCTTACACTACCAATGAAACACTTCAAAAGTTATGAAGCCCAACCATTTCCAGCACCATATGAGAAATTACAACAGTCCTAAGTTGTCTAAAAAAAAAAAAAAAAAATAAAATCTCGAAAAAGTTACGGCCTTTGCCATTCAACCATAACGTTTGCCATTTCCATGTACTAGTTTGCTGTCGGTGTCTGCTCGCCTCCCCTTCCGCCGATGTGAAGTCGCTGCGCTGCGTTGCTGCTGCTTCCGTGTTACAGAGGTGGGAAGGGGTCTGGTGGTCTGTCCGGTGGGTGGTGGGAAGCGGAGACTTTTATCCCAGGTACCAGGACTGCAAAAGAGAGAGGAGAAGCGTCAGCCCCGCCGCCCGCTTTCCCTGCTTCCCGAAGGGCTCCGGGCATCGCCGCCAGCCTCCTCCGCCAAGAGGGGGGCTAATTGAGACCGTGACGAATCGACCTAATTACAAAGCTTAATTAAAAATACTGTACGAATCAATATATTTTTTTTTTCCACTGACAGTCGCTGGACATAGCTACAGATGAACGCGGGGGTCATGTCACGTTACAAGTTATCAATCTTTTTAATAGATTATGGCTTGAAGATCCCTCCAGTTCACTTTTGTCTAATCCCCTGAAAAGGCGATACACATTCGCCTCTCTGTGCCATTTATCACCCTGCAGTCGGGGTTTTCTTGGGTATTTAGGCATGTGCCAGCATAAGCATCTGTTGCTTTATACTGCCCTGCTTCAACTGTCTCGCTGGAACAGATGCACAGAAATTCAACAACAGGGCTGTTTTCTTAGGAGAAATGTGGATCGCTAGAAAAAAGCCAGGATAAAGCAAATCTGGGGGAAAGTGGATCGGCGAAAAGGTCCCGTTATCTCTGGCCGTGCTTGCGTTTCAAAGCAAAAGGTGGACCTCAACTAATAGCTTTCCTTTGGGAAAATTGGGGTTTTTTTCCCCTTCTTCCCCCCAAAGGGAGGGAATTCCCTGGGATTTCAGCTCCGCAACAATGCCACCCTTAACCCAACCGCGCAGATGCCCAGAGCACAGAAAGCAATTTCGCTCCTCAATAGGAAAATAAACACCGTCGGAAAGCTGGAGTGGGCTCTGCTGGAGTCGGGGCAGTGCCACCGCACCGGGGAGACCCGACTCGGCCCCGGCGAGGTCAGACCAACCTGAACCCGGGATGAATAAGAGCAGTGTTAGGCCCTGGGATTGTGCGCGCAGGGGGATGCTACTTGGCAGTGACATATTGCTGTGGGAATACGGCAACAAGCGGCAACTATTTAGCCTGAAGTAAAGTAATACAACAAGAAAGATTCAGGTATTAAAGGGCCGTTGCTGATACCCCACGTTTTTACTTTGGCTCCCGTAATATATGAGGTGCATACGTGTGCACGTATAAACTGACGACAAGTTTTACCAACTTTTTCCTCTTCCTTTTCAGCGTCTGACGTGATTGATAGCATAATCAACCCGGGGTGGATTTATGAACATTTACAGAAGACTCTGAGGCAAGCTTCATGTGGGACTGGGAGATTATGTGGTCTTGCCATGGAGGTAGGAACTGGTAAAACAAATAGCACGATCGGAGAAGTTGTCCTGCTTCCAATACACCTCATTAACTAACTCTTCCTCCGCTCACCCTTCTGAATACAAACATGCCGGTCCCCTATCGGCTCCATCTATTGCCTACAGATTTTATATTTAGACTTACGCAGGCTGCAATTAAACAAAATAGTTCTCATATGTAAAGTTCATAAACAGAGAAAAGTTCTGGCGGGATTTGTGAAGTGCTGCCAAGTCCCGCTCCCCTCCCCGCTTGCAGGGCCCTATTGATTTTAGGCGGGCGCGGGGAAGCCGAGCGCGGGCCGTGCCGCAGGCACCTCTGGCCACCGCGGGCTGCGAACTCTTCCAAACTTCGCAGGGTCGTCCCTTACGCTCGTCGTTTGAGCGTGACAGTCTTTGGCCGGGCTGGGAACCGTGGCCGTCCCCGGCAGGGAGTAGAGGGGTTAAAAATTCAGAGCCGATGGTTCAAATCTATATCGCAGATGTCCAACTGGCTCCCATTGCCGCTGGCCTGGCCACATGGCCCACTGGCCGGGGATGGTGGGAGCTGCGCTGGCCTCGCCACTCCTCTTTGGCTTCGAAAGCGGGTTTAAAGAAAGAAAGAAGGGGGAAAAAGGCAAAAAAAAAGGGGGGG